CAATCCTGGTTCCAGAGGCAGATCCGTGGCTCTCAGTACCAACCCATCCTGCGGGACCACATCTGCAAGGTGGGGTGAAGAGGGGAGTCTGGGGGGTCTTCTGATTTGCTGTCAGATGTGCTTAGTAGCTAGATGCTACTGACTGCCTGTATGACTGAACAATTTCGTTGCCTTGCACTTGGGTCCCACTGTAGAACTGGTCAACATTGCCCCAAATAGTCATTGGAGCGTAGAGCGATAAACCCACCCAGTTGTCCTCATGACACCTCCCCTTCCAACCCCCAGGACATGAGTGCACTGGTGGCAGCCCGCATGCGCCACGTGCCCCTAGCGCCAGGCTCGGACTGGCGAGATCTGCCCAACATCGAGGTGCGCCTGCCGGATGGCACTACCACCAAGAAGCTGCGGTACACGCACTTGGACAAGAAGAACGGGCGCAGTAGCACGGGGTCACTGAGGGGCGTGTGCACGTGCGCTGAAGGTCAGTGGTGCACAGTTTTCCCTGCACCAGGCAAAGGTGGATTACGAGAAGCCCTGCAACACTAACACCGTTCCGGCCAACTTTCCTGCAGGAAAACCATGCGATCCAGCAGACCGACAGTTCAACACGCTGATCCCCTGGTGCTTGCCGCACACGGGCAACCGACATAACCACTGGGCTGGGCTCTATGGGCGTCTGGAGTGGGACGGCTTCTTCAGCACCACCGTCACCAACCCAGAGCCCATGGGCAAGCAGGTAATGGTTCATAGCCCTGCGTATGGGGCGGACTGGGGTGGCGTCTGCTGAAGGCTCCTGGTTTAACAGCCGTCAATGGGTGTTTTTCAGGGCCGTGTGCTGCACCCGGAGCAGCACCGTGTGGTGAGCGTGAGGGAATGTTCTCGCTCTCAGGGTTTCCCTGACACCTACAGGTTCTTTGGCAACGTCCTGGACAAACACAGACAGGTCAGACTTTTATCTCCCAGCTCCGTTCACCCTTTTATTTAAGCCTTTGCTGGCTCAGATGTTGATCCAGCTCCTCGCTTCTGCAGGTGGGCAATGCTGTGCCCCCCCCTCTCTCCAAAGCCATCGGGCTGGAGTTAAAGAAATGCGTCCTGGAGAAGATGAAGGAGAATCCTGTGGGCCTTACGGGTAACTTGCTGTTCTCTTCCTGTTCTTCCTGTGGCTTTTACCCATAGTTACACAGGTGCAAAATAACCTAATCTCTCCCCCACTCTCTGTCTCAAATCGCAGACCCTGTGAAGCAGGAGAAGCTGGAATTGTCTGACTAGAGTGGCCACTGGCCCAAGGCTTTCAAGATGCTCACCCCATCTCATTCTGTTTACTTGCTGGGAAAAGGATGCTTGACTCATTTTTATGGACAGTCTGTGCAGTGCCATTTTTTATGTGATTTTAACCATGTATTTTCAGATTCACTTGATTCAAGTGGAATAAATTGTATGGTAGTTTTTATATGTTGTAATATTAAATAAAGCTCTTATCAGATGTTTCTGGTCATACTTTGCCTCGTGCCTCTTCATACCTACACGGCAGATCCTCTCAGTAACTGCTGATTTTAATTTTGCTTTTTAAGCTTTAAATACTCCATGCTAGTGTGATGTTAAGGTCTTAAACATTTAATGACTTAAGTACTAGTGAGTCTCAAATGTTACCTTTTCACTTGATTCCAGCTCTTAACTCAAAAGTAATCCTTCATAGAAGCACTGAAGTGACATAGAGGGTGTGTGCAATCCACAGTCAGGGCGAAGATCCTTCCCCTTGAGCACCGATTCTGGTGTACCACTCGTGTAGCAAATTCTCTCCAAATGTGGCACTAAGTCTACATGACTTCCTTGGTGCATTTTGTACTATTGCATTTTAACAATTGTTATAGTGATCTATAAAAAGCAAACTGGTTATCTAATATGGTAAAATTACCTGTAATATGTGGATTCGAGGATAAGTGATTTACTGATGGGTAGACAAAATAGACTCCATAAAATTAGTGATAAAATTCCATTCATATCCCTAAAACAATTCAACTTCCAGTATTTTATGAATATAATGAAATCTCAAGGTTTGGGGTATTCATTTACATCTAAATTAAGCAGGAATCTTAGATGTGGGCAGTGGTGGCTTAATGGTTAAGGGAAGCACAGTTGTAATTGAAAGATCCCTGACCATCAAGGCACCACTGAGGTATCCTGAGCAAGGAACCACCCCCAAGCACTGCTCCCCGGGCGCTGAATTAGCTGCCCCCTGCTATGTCACATATGGGTTAAATGCAGAGGACACATTTTGTTGTGGTGTGTCAAATTTTACTGACCGGCCCCTGGAGGATGGGCTCCCCCTTTGAGTCTGGTCCCTCCCAAGGTTTCTTCCTTCTGGGGAGTTTTTCCTTGCCACTGTTGCCTATGGCTTACTCACTGGGGGCTTTGGGTGGAGATGCTGTAAAGCGCTTTGAGACGATATGTTGTGATAATGCGCTATACAAAAATTTGTTTGTGTGTCAACAACAACCACTGATCACTAAATTCTAAGATGGTTAAAAAAAACTTAATTCTACATTTTAAAATGTTAACTGGGCAGGTTTTCCTTTACAATAAGAATTATGGCAAGCAGCTTCCATAAACATGATTGCAGTAAGTTCACAGTATGTAGGCAGAAAGTTTAAACTGCTATTCAGCATCTTCATCAAGGCTAATGTCAATTAGTAAGCAGTTAGTCAATTCCCCGAAAATGAGGCATAAAATCAAAAGACACTTTTCTTTATTGATAGATTTATTTCACAAAGTGAGTTTTATGCTTGTTACAAGATACAAATATTCTTTCCATGGCTGTTATTCTTCAGACACCAAAACAGTTTGCTGCCCGCATTCAAAAGCAAAAACCAGATATTGAAAAAACCTTTGAAAACAGGCTTCATGAACCTTAGTGGTGATGTCTCATCCGTCTGGGGTTCTCAGTTGTTTGATGGCCTTAAAAAAAAGAGGGAAAAATACAAGTGATTACAGGACTTCAAAGGGTCATAATCCAAGCACATGTGACAGACAGGAACACGGCTTACTTGGCCCATTCCACGTTGAGGATCAGGTGATCATAGCCGAAACCAGACACACCAGCGATAGCTCTGGCCGCATCCTCGCGTCGATGGAAACTGATGAATGCAAAACCCTGAAGAAACACGGGAGAGACGATAAGGCGTCGACGAAGAAAACACAGCGCAGTCGGGAGACCCACAGTCTCCAAGGCAATGGCTCGCAGCCAACGCTGTAAAGCTCTTCTGAACAGCACCTTGGATTGCCCAGTGTTCTTGTCCTTGGCCAAATAGATCCTAGAGATGGAGCCGAAGGGCCGGAAGAGCTCCTGCAGGTCCGTCTCCCTCGTGTCCTCCGACAGGTTGGTCACACGGATCGTGGCGTTGTCATCAGCTGAAGGGGGGAGGGACGGTCAGAAATTAGCAGGCTACCCTGGTTACTGGTATTAACTACTACACTCAGATTTCAGAAGGGACGAGGACAGCTGACAGACGCACCTCTGCGGTTAGGCTGCATGGACTCCCCTCTACGAGTTCCTCCGTCACGCAGGCTGGGGGGGACGTACTTCCCCGTCTTGCTCTGCACTGGTTGCGCGGGCTCCGGTTCTGGATACCAACAACAGTCAATCATCCATCAGCGGGAAGCCATTAGTATGTCCTTGCTCTTGTTAACCTTGTTAACTTCCTCTCTTGGAAGGTTCCTCATTTCAGAGAGATGTACGTCTATGTCAGAGGAGACAGGTGAGGAGGACAAAGGGGAAGCCTACCGGATGTCTTCTCCTTGTCGCCAGTGGACAGACCCAGCTGCTCTGCAAGCTCCTTCTGCATGGGTCCCAGTGTGTCCTTATAGGGACACCGCGTGGTCCAATGGTCCCCTTTGCAGATACGGCAAGACACGATTTTCTGCCCCTTTAGCTTGTTCATGGGGTCCTCATCTTGGTCTTGGGTATTAAGGTCCTGAATGAAAGGGGCCACATCAGTTAAACAATACACAGACAGACCACATTCATACATGAAAAGATTCAAAGGGAGAAAAATACAATTATACAATGATATGCATTTCACTCTATAAACAGCTGAATGGTTCACAGAATACAGTATTGCTGTTTCATATGTACCAGTGTCAAATCAACAGGACCTCACCTCCTTGCTGGAGATGAAGGTCATGAAAACATCATCGCTGACTGTGGTAGTGGCCACGTTGGGGCCCGGTGGATCAAACTCCGAGTTGCCAAACTTCTTCCAGTTCTGGAAATCACAGTGGGACAAACCAACCACACAGAGAATGTAAAACTGCAGTGTTTCAAGATTTACAGAATGGCCTCAAACTGAAAGAATGACAAACCTTTCGCCGGGCCACAGCCTTTGAAGCCTTTATCTTCTCGATTTTAAAGGTCCGGACAATCTATGGGAAAGACAGTGGCAGGACAAAGTTTTACTGATACGCTTAATTATAATTAAGCCCCATGTTTTTGGTAAATATTAAGAATAACTAGAAATAAGTATCTGTCTTAAATTGTGTGAGTTCTGCCATAGATCAAGGACATTTCATCTACACATCTACATTAAAAAAACCATCAAAATACTTACTTTAAACTTCTTCCCATCTTCATCAATCTTATATTCTGTGACGGTTTTGATATTTCCCTTAATCGTTTCTTTCGGTGAGGGAAGGGTGCCTATGACATGCAACAAAAATGAAATACCGTTGTAAAGAAAGAAATTGTATAGTATATATTATGTATTGAACTATACATATAATATATGTGTGTGTTTTATATATCCTCCTGAGACCCAAGGGAAAAAGTGTCCTTCAGTTTTAGGATAATTGTGATTTTCTATGTCTTTGGAGGAAATAGGACATCTTTTTTCAAATTTATTTTTATTTTTAATTTCACAGCATGTCCTCTTTAGTGTACAACAGGAATTAATATGTTTCCTTACATCAGTGAAAAGATATATGCAAAAACAAAATGTCCACTACAATGCACATAAATGAATGAGTGGGGTCTCAGCAGGATATATTTATATAAAGAAGCTTCTCGTGGTGTCGGTATTCACACGGCGTTTTGATTAACCACTGCTTATCGGTAAGCAAATATTTCAATTGAAATATGACCTTTAATTAGCCAACTTTAAAGCTTGACATCAATTATCAAATATCAATTGACAGCGTAACAACTCAAATGAAGATCTTAATCAGTTAATGAACTTATACAGGATATTAGGCTCTTATTTTAGTGAAAATAAGCGACTGTTAGAGCAGAAATGTACAATCTTTTGTAACCATCTGCATATGCGACTATATTTTCGGCGATGTCGCGCATTTTCAAACCGAGTACAAAGTAAAATAGACGTCACATGAATGCTGAATTATTAGTTACAGCATTATTATAATTTCCGTCAATAGCCCTTTTGCACAAAAAAACACGTGGAAACTGCTATTTAGGCCTAGATCGGAACGTTCATTTTAGTCCAGAAAGCAACGTAGTTACCTTCATCGCCCTCCTCCTCAACCTGGTCGGCCCAGCTAGGCTTGGAACTGTAAAGAAATAAAAAGTTGGCATAAGAGATTTTTGATTGTATTTTTTAAAACCTTATATAACAAATTACGTTAAATGCATCCATAAATTATCTTACTCGTCGTATTCCACAGACGGCATCCTCCCGGTTCCTCAGCGCGCAGAAAGACCTGATGAGGGGGACACCACCGAACTTCAGACAGAAGAAGGTGCTGAAGCGTACATTACAGCGCCCCCTTCTGCACGGGCGGTCCAACCAATTGAGTTCTCAACTGGTCGGTTAAAACAAAACCTTGGTCTGGATTTGTACTTTCTGGATCTGAATATGTCTGTAATGGATTACTTTCGCGAGTAACTTCCCCAACACTATGGATTTTATTAGCAACTAGCAACATAGTGTAAAAAAAACTTGCTTGGAGATTTCAGTTGTGTTAATGACACATTTATATTTACAAAGCTTGTAAAAGTAAACGAGTAGAAGCAAGCATGTGGCAGAACTCTATAACCATATGCGGTGAGTGGCTCAGCAAGCTGCAGTCTCTGGGCCTTGTTTGGAAGTTTGTTAGTCCACGCCCCAGCTTCAACAGAGCAGTCACATCACTCTGGGCCCTTGAGCAAGGCCTTTAATCCACCACATCTCCAGGGATGCTGCACATTGGCTCCCTGTGCTGTAACCACAAAGCTATGAAGAAGAACATGATTTGTTTTTATATTCACGTCCTCAGCACAAACACTTAAATGTCAGTAGTTTATGTTGTTGTTTTTTTATTACACTTTATGGGGTAAGATGGATTCTACCCCTGGGGTTAATTCTGTCCCCTAGCCTGTTTTCTACAAATTCTAAAAATATAACATGAAGAAACAATGGAAGTGGATCAATAAAGCCATTTAAGTATCTGAACTGGACAAGAGAAAGTGTGCAGATGAAGAAAAAGTGAAGAAAAGATGAAGAGAAAGGGAAGACATCTGGAAAAATCTACCAGTGGACCTTTTTCAAAGTATGTATTTCTGGTCGTTTTTGGATCAATATTCTGTTGTTTCCTTTTCAGATGTAATCTTTGGGTGACCGGATTTAAGAAACAGCTGTTTCTAAGCACTTACTGCAGAATAAATATTCAACGAACGTTGCTGTATGAATTTTTCAGGTTCAAGATGCCCAGAAAGTACGAGAAAAAAAGACGTAAGGTGTTATTCCCAAGAAGACATAGAGAAAGCTGTACATGCAGAGCAAAACAAGGGAGCCGGGACAAAAAAATTGCAGTTTTTGGAGTTGACCGTTCTACTCGCCAAGAGAAACTGCAAGGGGTATCCTCCATACAGTCCTTAGGTTTGGGGCCCCCACAGCCTTATCCTTAAAGCGGGGCTTTGGGATGAGGAGAGAAGAACTTTGTATGACCATTGGAAACTACACTGGAAATCAAAACTGAAACTCCCTTCAAAGATGACATCCATGTGTGGACTGGTTTCTTGTATTTAAGCAGCATCACCTCATCCTGTCCGAGGGAACCCCTGAACAACATCCAGGAAACTGAGCAACAGCGGTGACAAGGAAACTGGCAGACTACTGCTTTGATTTGTATGAAAAACAATCAACACCCTGAAATTGCAAAACAGCCCTCACAAAATTTACAGTGTTGATTAGACCAGTATGCCTCTAGATCCTTCAGAAATGTAGGTGATCTATGCAAGCTTCTGGGATCTGGGTTACAGTCTCTGCCAGGGTTCCATATGTTTGGAGTTTGCATGTTCTCCCTGGGCTGTAATGGGCTCCATCTGCTCTGATCTCCTCATACAGTCCAAAAACATGCTGAAGCTAATTGGAGTTACCAAAGGTTACCTAAGTGTGCATCTGTGAGTGAATGGTGTGTGACTGTGCCCTGCAATGGGTTGGCGCCCCATCCTGTGTTGTTCCCTGCTTTGCATCTGTAGCCCCTGGGATAGGCTACAGACCCCCCCTGACCCTGAACAGGACAAGTACTTTCAGTAAATGGATGGATTCAAAAGAGCATGGGTGATATCCCGATGTTAAAATTGCCGGCTGTGACCTTGTCAAACCTGGCCTCCTAATCACCCCCTAATTAGCTACTATGTGGTGAGCACTGGCGCAGAATGGCTGCCGTCGCATGATCCAGGTGGGTGATACACAGTGGTGGTGGTTGAAGTGGCTCCCCATTGGTTCTGTAAAGCGCTGCATAAATGTAACACTCCTCCATTCAGAATGAGAAAAGGAAAACAAAACAAGAAGCAAAAAAAAAAGGGCTGAAAAGAAACAAAGGGAGGTTCCCTAAAGAAGAAATCAAAGAAACAGCAGGGGGGCAGTAGAACCAGCAACCCGTACAGCAAAGCAGTGTCAGCATGATGAAGCTGAACTACATGATCAAAGAGATCTATGTAAAAGAAGCTGGAAGAAACCCTGATACATTTATGGGATGTAACATATGCCCAAGACTCTACTTCCCCTTGTTCTTAGGCTGAAATTCCTACGGATGTGTTTAAATGCAGAAGTATTCATCTGCAATGTCTTGAATGGGTTCTAACCTTGAAGACGTGGTATTTGTCCTACTGAAAAGCATCAAATATTGCATTACGAGATAATTGCTATCTTGTCCTCCAGAGATATTTATCCAAGTGGCATATAAATAAAACTTTAAGTCCAATTTATTTCTGTATTAATGGATTATCTCATAGGATAGTTTATTTATGTGTAAGCCATGCAGTTTGGCAGTATTAATGAAATCTGTATTCATGGTTTTATTTGGAGGCCAGTTCTTGGGCCACGGCCTATGGATTAACTCATTGTGTCTAATGAATTAATGAAAATATTAAATTTGATTATTTCAGGTTAGATGGCTTAAATACTCTGAGAAGAACTTAACCAAATGTCATAAGCTAATCTAAAATATTGGGCTAGAATGACCCCATATGAATTACACCATTTTACTCCAGCTCTAGTTCATAAGCCATATCTCATCATTTAAAAACTGGATCCCAAGGATAAACCAGTTGTACACCACTGGACTAGACAATGCCAGTTACGACAAACACCCCCTCCACTGGTGTACTGATGTACACACACCGTAATAGGGTCAGCAGAGCTAATACCAACTCCAGTAATTTCTAAATATATATATTGTAGATATGCATATTATATACATTTTTTATGTTCTATACATTAGAATATTAAATTTAGCCAATTCATATAGTTACATACAATGCTTATTTGTACATGATCATAAAATAGTAATACATCAAAAGCATTTAAACATATGCAAAATAATCCTTTATGCAGTTCATATGCTATCAGGAGCAGACCTTTAAGTTTTATTAAAGCCACAACAATAATAAAAATCAGGTGTCAAACAATTTAAATACATTTATTAAATTTGAATGTAGAAACAGATTTTTATGGTACAAAAGTATTTTTAGTCGATGGGCATCCAAATTCAAGACCATCACTAAGGTAGCCATTAAACTCAAGAACGGGGCACCATTGAGCTTCTCCACCCCACTAACAGGCCATGTGGGCGGGGACAGAGGCCATGTGGGCGGGGACAGAGGCCATGTGGGCGGGGACAGAGGCCATGTGGGCGGGGACAGAGGGCAAGCCCCATCTTTGCTGGGCCCAAGACCTGAGAGACAGTCCCTCTGTACAGCACTCAGCAGTCAGGTCTAATACAGGCTCACGGTCTTCCTTTCCCTTTCTTCTGTCTAAACCCCTGTTTTCCCCCTTTCTTAAACCCAGGCCTAGGATTGCCGTTCTGTCTTTTCAGCTTCAGGCCCCTTTCTCCCTTTTTCACGCCAAAGTTCTTAACACCTTTTTTGCTCTGTTTTCTGTCTTGGTTCTGTGGGCGGGCCTTAGTACCAGGCCTACTAGAGCGTTTGGGGCTGGGGCCTCCCCCAGCTCTCCTTCCCCGTTTGGGCGCCCCCCCTTGGCCAGAGTCTTTGCCCACTGACATCTTCCTCTTCTTAAAAGGCCTCAAAGACTTGTCCGCATTCTGCTTCTTTTTGGCCATGGGGAACATACCTGCGGAAACAAAAGGTCTTACGCTTTAGAACGCAGCAGCGAGCGCAGTAAGAGACCAGGAATGCGGGTAACCCTACTTACCTTCATCTGGCTCCTCCCCTACAGCCTGTCTGTAGTACTCTGCCTCATCTTCCGACTCAGCCGCAGCCTGGTCATCCTGCTGCCCAGGATCTTCCACTTCACTGTCTGTAGCTCCCTCCTGATCCTGGTGCTTCCTTTTAATACCTGCCAGGCTCTTCTTCCTGTTGGGAAAACACAAAACCACTCCAGGTCGTGGAAAAACAACAACAATATTCACTCACTCACACACGATGCCTCTTCTACTGCGGTGTCACAGGCCACATACGTACTTGTTCTCCTCCCGTTTCTCCTTCTTATGAAGAATGTTCTGCTCCTGCTTTTTCTTGCGCTCCTGCTTCAGCTTCAACTGTGCCTCCTTCCTCTTCAATATCTCTCGAATGTCCTCCTCACTCTTTTGGACTGTAGAAAGGACAGAAAGAGAGAGACTCACTCACCACAGAATCGCTACACCCTTCACCAGTCAGCGTTCGCTCTGCTAGCATGACAAGAGAGTCAGATTTTACTTACTGAAAGAGTGATAAAGAACATTCCCTGCCCCCATGCCCTCCTCAATCTTCACTAGCTTCATTGTCATCCTGGGGCCAATCTGCAACAATAAAAGCTACGTGAACTTCCCATCTCACTACTATGGTTGCAAAGGGGTGGAAATTTTCTGGAAACTTTCCATAGGATATAAAACTGGGCAATTTTGGAAATATTGAACTCTGTGCGAGTTGTCAGATACAGCAATAAAGCAAACTGTATGAATCATGCAACACTGAATACAGTAAGCAGGATAAGCAGTGCATTTATTCCCCCGTTATAAGCTAACATGCAAATTTAGCAACTTTCCAGTTAATTCCCATGGAAAGTTTCCAACTTTGAAAATTCCCAGAATTTTGCAACCCTATTCACTACAGGCAAACACATTTAGGCACAAGAACACTTGACTGGGCACATCAGAAAGCGTTTACTTTATGAACTGCATCATGGCATTCAGTAAGCATTGCTTCATCACTTGGGTCCCAGCCTGTTCCCGTACGAGACGAGACATTTACCTCCGTCAGCCGCACTGCACTCTGCTGCGAGCACATGTTGCCCCGGCCAGAGTACGCCTGGGGCAGCTCGGTGATATTGTGATCCCCGTCCTGCTCCGCTTCACTCTCAGACAGGTTGGCTCCCCTACGGCAAAAGCGAAGCATCGGAACAGCATGAGAGCTCGTGCGGAGCCACGACGCACGCCAAGTGTCGGCGCGCCACTGGATGCATCAGAGCGTTTACTTTGTAACATCACTGGAAAAAAATCAAGGTAATGAACTGGCATCATCTGCATCCTGAAAGTAGTCAGATTTAGTCTAACAACTGGGGGGGGAAGAAAGGGTTTGGTGCCACACATCCTTGCTTGCACGCATTCATTCATACTTAAATTACTCCCTTTAACTGCTAAGTCTGCACTGCTCACTGGCTATGTTCCTAAAGAGGAACAGAGCTCCAAAAAGAACTGCGTGTAAAGTTTAGTGTTATAGTTGTTAAGGACCCCGCCCCAGATGGCATTTTCATTGTTAGCTGTGGTTTCCCTTTAACCAAAGTACACTGCGGCCTCTCACTTCATGAGCAGCTCGCTGATGTCATCGAAGCGGCTCATGTTGGGGAAGCGTTCCTGCATCAGCTTCTTCACCCCGCGACTCATTCCCACGGGCACCACCTTCAGGCTACTGTGGGCAGAGAACGTGCAGAGTGAGCCTGCGTTTCCCCAAGGGCCACCTACCGGCAAACACAGCCTGCACTCTGGAGTCTGGGTGCATCAGGGCGTTTACTTTGATAATGAATCACCGTCAGTCATCGATCACATTGTCATCACCTGCACCTCGATTAGCTACCGCTTAAGCTATTATTATTATTATTTTTTTAAAGTATCTAGGTTAAGCAAACTCCAGAAAAGGAATCTTACTTACTAATGACGGAATTCTATCTCTTCTGACAGCGGGTCATAATTCAGCAACACGCATCTCTTTATGGAGTTGAGGTTCACCTGGAATCAGAAACAAGACGAAACGAAAGTTACGGGTCACCGGCTGTTGGGTGGAGCGAATGTCAATTTGCAGACGCGGATGTGAATGTGGGTTTAAATGGCTGTCATGCAGTTCGACCAAGGAAGGCGCTTTGCTTGCAGCAAATACGACAGCAACTATCAAAGTTAAAGTCACAAAAATCACCCCCCTAAAAGTTTGCCCAAAAAAAAAATAAATAAAAATATATAGGGCCACAAATGTCCAGTTTCAGGGATTCACTGGTACCAGACTGCATGACAATTCATGTGAATCTTACATAGGAGCCGGAAGAGAATTCAAGATCAGATTATTTCCCATCAATAAGATCACAGATAATCTCAGCAGACTATACAATCATCATGGTTGAACTCTCTTCCAGAAGCTTCCAAACATTCCACTGCCAGCTCACTCCCAACTCACTTTGTGCACACTGATGGAAGGGAACATGTTCTGGAACATGGTGGCCATCAGCTTGACTTGCATGCCCGTCGAGCCGAAGTTGTTCAGCACCAGCAGCGGGTGATGAGTGAACTGCTGTTGGTGCATTCTGTGTCTCTTCAGCGATGAGACGATGTCTTTGACAAGGGTGTACTGAGAGACACAAAGCGAAATCAAGACATGAGACGTGTGGAAGAAATCAGACTATACCTACATGGTTAAACTTCAGTGTAATTTCCCAGCGAGTCCTCCACAGATACACACCTTCAGTAGTTTAAAGTACATCGTGGGTCCTTTGGGGAGCCGGGCCAACCGCTGGAGAGGGCAAGAGATTTCTGTTACTATTCTGTCACTAGAAGAGGTTCTTAGGTTGGGATGACAGGTAATTACTGTCAGAAAACATGTGTCAGAGCTAGCGATCATGCTGTCCTGGAAGGATATACCAACTTACCATATTGATGCTACTGGGAGTTTTGGTGAAGATCATGAAATGGGTCACTCCCAGTGGTCCCGCAACCGCTGCAAAATCTTTCAGGACATTCTTCTTCCGCACCTACAAAGCAACACGTGCGTGCCATTAATACACCGAGACCGGAGCGCTAAGATAGCGAATTATGCGTCGTTTTTTCCCCAATGGATCAACGAGCGGAGCCGACCTTCAGATTCTCGGCGGTGAAAGGCTCCATCACATGCCGCATGTCCGTGACTAGCTGGCCTGCATTCTTGCCGATCTGTCCGCGGTGGAACACGAAGGAGTGCGGTACCTTGCCGAAGTCCTCCTCCCCTTGGCGGATCGCGTTTAGACGCGACTTCTTCTGGTTTTTCGTCTAGTGATAAGGCGAATAAGACGGATATATTTCTCTCATTTTAAACTATACTTGGACTGTTTGCCTTAAAGTGGTGAAATTTGTAGTCTATCCACAGTAATCTGCATGCGTTCTCTAGTACGGCGTTCATGAGGATCCGGAACGTGGTTCAAAGCAGTTCAAAGCTCTGTAGATTTTTTTTCCCCCCATTCCCGAATCCCCAAATAGGGTTAATTCGCTATCACGTCCACCGATCACGCCGTTCGCCAGTTGGCTAATGTAACACGCCGACTGCGGCTAGGCCACAATTAAAACATACTTAACATTAATTGCAATAGCACGAACATCGGTTAACATAGAAACATATTCACAACTTTTTACGTTTTTTCTAGTCTAAACGCCATAAAGAGTTTGACGCCAACCTACATGACTGGCAAGCTGAAAGCTAATACAAAAAGATCTTACCTTTGTTTTCCCCATAGCATCGATTTATTACAAATCTTAAAAGAAAAAATAATTATAATTTACTTTCCGCATATTAATGCACCTAAAACACTTGATAGCGTAACAGTCACATCTTGCTGCTATACCGGCCAAGAATCACCACGTGTAAGACCATGGCTTACGGGTTACACTGAACTTGCTTCACTCTCCCTCGTTGGTGAATATGTAGGTAAAAAAAAAGCAACTATAGTTGTGCATACTGCCACCTAGTGTCGTGGCGCTCACTAGAAGAGAGCATCGATACAGTACTTTTTATGATTCGTTGTATGTTCAACTATTTATAACACAGAACAATTGTCTTAAAAACACCATTTTTTAACAGCCAACGCCTTAGTTGATTGCATCCAGACTGTTTTAATAAACAGCATGTTGCCAAACTGAAGAATCTTTAGCGATGTTCTCTCCCGGTTAAGGAGGTTCTCTAACAGTGATGCTGTCCAGAATCTCTACAGATGGATGAAGAGGTCAACATACCAACCCACGGAGAACAGGTCAGAGGTCAGGCTGTTGCAATGTAAACAGATCCCCTGCTTTCATTCTGCATTGCTGGTGCTCTCAAGACTGGCCTCAAACACCAGAATATCAACACACACACACACACACACACACACACACACACACACACACACACAAGAAATACACCATTATCTGTCGCTCAGCCCAACTTGGATGCATCATCCATTCTTTGTCTTCTTAGTTATTTTATTTTGTTTTATGTATTTTTTAATTCTCATTTACAGTAAACATCTTTTCCAATTGTTCAAACACTTTATATCTTTAAAGTTGTATAGTCATGCAGAATCTTGACTGGGAGCTGTTCAGTCTGACTGATGTAGATGAGCAGCTGTATTTTGCTTTCAAACTTACCTAAGCTAGTCAACTGAAGTTAAGTAAAGCTTTAGTGTCATTTCAGCCACGTACAGCACACAGTGAAGCGAAATAATGTTCCTCCGAGACCCATGGTGCAACATTCATGACGGGACAGACATTACATTGCTAAAGACAGCATCATGTAATTAATTGCATAGTGCAAAACATTCTTGCACAATTATCAGTAATTGATGGGGAGGAGAGACAGAGGGACGAGAACTACAAGTATTTTCTATGTAATATCATATAACATAATAATTATTTCATATTAAACAAACAATGAACACAAACAGCACTACACAAACACTACACAGCACTGGGTAAATAGTGCAGGAAGTGCTGGCTATACTTAAAGTGACAGCGCAAACTACACTAAAATGTATTGTGTCTGACAATTTACAACTTGGCTTCTAAATCGTCTATCAAGCAGTTTAGAGACTGTAACTGTAATTCATAGATTGGGGTCACAGTGAAGGGGCCAGTTAAAAGGGGCAAGAACCAGGTCAGCTTGAAGCATCTAAGCAGGGAGTATGGGACCACTAAGGGAGGCTTGTAATTATGCCTCTCTTTGTTTACATGTCCTTTAACTGGGAGGGATGGAGGGGGGGGGCTACGGAGGGAGGTCTCGCTGCTTTAAAACCTGTGAATCACAGGACCCCTGTCTCTCTTTCTCCTTCCAGTTCGAGTCACGGGCCGCAGCTCCGGAACGTGGACCAGGCTGAGCAGAAGATCTGGTCGAGACACAATTCCAAGAGGACACAGCCGAGTTTAACAGCCGCAGTCACTAGAAAGAGGAGCTGGTAGACCACAAGCTACTAGACCCCAAGATACTGTGCAGCGTGCTGTTAGCTGTATGGGCAAAGCGTGGGGCTGTGTGGCTCCTTCTCAGGGTGTCTGATTGAGTGCCGGAAGCAGGGTGCCTGTCGAAGGTGAGTTATATGCGGTGGTAGTGAGCATCACCATAAGAGTAGGAGAGAGGTGTGACATTTCTTTGCCGTTTCGGTTGTGGAAGTGAAAGAGGAAACATCCAAATACGCTGCTTTATCACAGCTTTTTCTCTTGACCCGCAGCAATGTGGGTTCGTCATTAAGGTTGTCGCTTCAAGTTTCAGGCACAGCCTTGGGCAGTGTACCTTGGAATAAATTGCTTAATCTCAACTGGTCCTGCAAAATGTCTAAAATGTAAGTTGCTTTGGATAAAGGCATCCACCGTTATCTAAAAACATAAATTCAATCCATTTAGTTCCCGCCTGCATTTGTGTGAGTGTACGTGAATATTTGTGTAGAAATAGTGGTGGATGCCAGTTAGACGCTTATCTTATGGTGTTGACAGTGCTTTGACTGTGTGGTTTGCAGCTGGATTGACTTTTGTTGACTGAAGACACCTGCTAATTAACTCACTCACCAGAGTATTTTTGGGGTTTACCTCACAGAATAAACATCAGCAAACATCTACAGCTCAGAATTAGACCAGTGGTATATACGTACTGGTTCTTTGCATTATGTATGTATCTAAATACTCATTTATGTTCTGCATGATTGTAAATTTACCTCTGTTGTCAGATATTGTTTAGGATTACTTCCTCTTTCCAACAAAGGCTGATGCATGCTGGGAAGAATATCGGACGCCAGCTGGGAAGTCAATGGAAACTTGGACTTTGTCCCTCTTGTTCCTGACTGTGCTCCTGGTCCAGAGAGGAACATGTGGGCAGAAGAGTATTGATCCCACAGTGCCCGGGGAGGAAGGTACGCAGAGTCGGCAGCCTGGGCCGGCAGGGCCGAAGGCGGGCCGCTGCGCCTACACTGTCGTCGTGCCGCAGCAGCGGCTGACGGGCTCGTTGTGCATCACCTCACGGGGGGGCGAGTCTGGTGTGGCCAACAGCTCGGATGTGGCGGCGCTGCGCGGGGAGCTCTCCTACCAGCAGCGGCAGCTGGAGGAAGTGCGGGCGCTGGTGGGGCGCGAGAGCGGCCTGGCTCAGGAGGTGCGGGGCTGGCGGGGTGAGAACGCCGGACTGAATGCGCGCATCGCCCAGCTGAATGCAGAGCTGCTGCAGCAGGTTCTCCACAGCGGGGAACAGGCCCTGGCACAGCAGCGGCTGCAGGAGCTGCTGCTCAATGCCACCACTCAGGTCAGATGCAGACCCAGCTCCCGTCCCTCTTGGCATTTCCACTTTCACTTCTTTTATATTTGTTTCCCTTCATCTTTTGTCTTGTATCCTCTATCCCTCATGCGCTTTAATGCACAGGCTTACCCAGGCTGAAGCCCAGGGGACACCGGCAAGAAAGGGGTTTCAACAAACCTTAATAAAATGCAGCCTCTCCCCAGGTTATAATGGGGTTACGTTCCAATAAACCATTTGTAAGGCGGAAATACCACAAGGCGAAAATGCATTTTAATACAGTACACCTAACCTAACAAACATCATAGCCTAGCCTACCTTAAACATGCTTAGGTCACTTACATTGGCCTAAAGTCATTAACCCAAAGCCTATTTCTAGTGTTGAACATCTCATGTAATTTACCATATAATGTACTAAAAGTGAAAAACATTTACGCATCGTAAAGTCAAAATATCGTAACACGGACCATCAGAACTTGAGGAGCGCCTATATATTTTCAACCCCTCAGCAACTTTTACTGTCACCTCCCCCCCATCACCAACTACACGATCATAGAAAATGACAACTCAAATAGCCCAGGGACCTCTTCTCATAAACCTGCACCCCCACCCTGATCCACAGAGACCCACAGTGCCCCCCCCCCCCTCTTTCATAGCCTTTACCTATGTGCTCTTTCTCCATTACCCGTATCCCCTAACCAGCATCTTTCACCCCATCTTCTGTCCAAAGCCACCAGCTCCTGCCTCCCTTTAACTGTCCGCAGGTGCAGCAGTTGACAGTCAGCTACAGAGAGCTGGAAAACAATTACAAGACTCTCACCTCAGCGATGAGCAGCCAAAATGCACTGATCAATCGCCTGGAGAAGCAATGCCAGAGGGACAGCACTGACCTGCCCCAGCAGGTAGGGGGCAGCGATCTAACCACGCCTGCTTTGGGATGATTGTTTATTCCTCCTTTTATTTATCCATCCATTTCTTGTCTTCCCAGGACAAACCTTTCTCGCAGCTTCATCAATTCTTTTTTTCTAAGGGAAATGCTGAACCCCTGTTTTTCTTCAGATTTTGGTGGCTTTGTGCTGTAGATCTGCATTTGTTTTTGTGATTGATCTGGACAGGGGCCCCGGAATGAGAGCCCAGAGACAAAGAAGGTGGACAGTGACATCCAGAAGGACCAGAGTGTCTCCAGGGACGACCCAGCTGCCATCACACCCAGTCCTGCCCTAAAAGCCTCCCTCGCCAGCTTCCCCGTCACTAAGAGTCCAGGTGAAAGCCAGTCTGCCACTATAGCTCTGTAATGTTACAGCGAATGTCCCCAAAAAGGTAATGAAAATTAGTTATTTTTACTTAGCAAGGACTCGTTTATAAAAATCTGTGAGTGCAATAAAAGCACTAAAAATGGTTAGGGCTGGGTTAGGGTTAGGGTTAGGTTTAGGGATAGGGGTTAAGGTCGCCTTGTAGGGATTTTGGTTTTTCCCATAGAAATGAATGGAGAGTCCCCACAAATATATAATTACAAACGTGTGTGTGTGTGTGCGCGTGCACGTGTGAAGGTTTTTCAATCACCGTGAAGACAAATTTAAAGAAAAGCTGCTCACAGATATCTGCAATATGAGCATTGTTAGGTCCGATCACTCTGAGCTATTTTCACCAAAATATCATTTGTGTTTAAAAATCTTTTTTTTTGATACCATTGTGAGTTTTTCCACGTTAAAGCGGAAAGTGGTGGGAAGATCCCCAAAAAAAAAACACTGAAATCCAAACATCGGCATGTGTGTGAGGGAGGGACAAAGCAAGGAAAGATAAGCGGTCTCACACGAAAGAGCAAAACCAGACGCAGAGTGTCAGTGACCTGCCACTGGAAGCCCTCCTTAGGAAATGCCTAAACAGTGAGTGAAGATCGCCAGCAGCTTAGAGGAGACAGGAGGAGCCCCAGAGCACCCAGCCAGCACACACACTGATGCGTGCGGAGCTACAAAAGAGAGTGATGTGTAAATCTCTGCTAAATGACAGTGCGGATTGTCCTTCATGCAGATTGTCCTTCATGACTGAATGTAGATAAACTGTACTAAACACTGTGCTATTCAAAAACAGTGCAATAACTTCTGGAATTCAGATTTTTTAAATAATGGTAATGTTTGTAAATACAATAGAATAGAATAGAACAGAACAGAAT